TTGCACAGTGAATATGGTATGGTGTTGCACAGTAATTATTGCGCATTGTTGTATTTTTATTTTTTGTGCAACACAAAAGAAAATACAGTTGTGCTTAGCAGGTTAATGGTTAACACGTTGTTGCTAATACTCCCGCAGTACAGGTCCTGTAATAGTAAGGTAGTATTGTTTCCACAGTGGTATTTATTCTCCTCTGGAGGGGAGCACAGTTCAGCTGCCCTCCTCTTCCTCCTCTTCTTCATCTTCCTGGAAACTTGTTGCGATTGTGTCCTGGCACAAACAGCTAACGTTAGCCACCAGTATCCAGCAGCAGGAACTCGTGCTCCGTCCACACACCAATGAGAGGGACACTCAAAAGACAAACATGCGCTTGGACATTGACTGATATTTGGGTGGCCAGTTGTTCCTGAATCCCTCTTGAACGCTCTGTGAAGCTCTCTGATCTGAAAGGAGCAGTGAAGTGTCGGTGAGTGGCCGTGCTCAGTGATGGCTGTGGCTATTAGCTGGGTCTCCTCTGGAGAACTTACCTGGTAGCTAACTTTAGTTTGTGTGCGGTGTTGACACGTGTGTCAGCGGCACAATCATTCTGTGGATTAAACGATAATGCGTTTGACTTTGAAGGGAGTCAAACATGTTTTGAAAAGCTAACAGCCTTTCTTCACGTCTCTAGCTAAGCTAAGTTAGTGATTAGCATTTGGGCTGATCCTAACTACCGGGAGTAAACTCCGGTAGTGTTAACTGTACCTACACTAACGACATGAGCAGAGACTTCTGCTTTTTAAATGCATCGTTGTGGTTGTAACATGTAAGTTAGTTGTCGGCGTTGACAACCTTTGTGTCTGCATATGACACGCTAGCGTTAGCTAATGCTATCATTTCCCCATATTGTTATAGATATCGTTTAAAATGTATCTAGCTAACGCTCAGATGTCGCTTGCCATTAAAACCTGTGTGTATATATATATATATATATACATATAACGTTATATATGTTTTTAACATTTCTCATCTTACTGTGTCATCCTCAGATTAACAAAATGTAACGTAACCTGTCTTGAACCAGCCTCCCCGTTAGCTGTCCCCGCTGTTTATTCACGCAAGTCCGGTGATTGCTTAGCATTTGAGTGGCAGGCCTCGGCCTGTCTGAGACGACTGCAAGTAGTTCGCAGGTTTTGCGAACGTTTTTGTTTCCAGTTGTAGAACATAACCTTATACGCCAGGATACTCGTGTTGTGTGTGGACATCTTTACACGTAGCTGTCAAAGCTGCTAATACTGTTGTGCAAGAAGTGCAGATTTAAGCTGTTGGAAGTCAACCGTGTCTTTGCCCTCAGGCTATGGATCCTGACCGACAGAAACGAAGAGAGGAAATTCAGAAAGCGATGAGCTTTATCCAGTAAGTGGACAAATAATATGGATTTGTAATGCCTTCTTTACAATTAACTAGCGGCATCTGTGGACACCACTTGTAAATCAATGACAGCCTTCTTTCCCGTCCACAGGTCGTCGTTGCCTTTCCCAGAGCCAGAGAGTTACGAGGTCTGCATTGATTCTTATTATCCCATTTTTCATTCTCAATATTTCCTCAGATTTCACCATGAACCAAACTCCAGCTTATTCTGCTACCTCCTGGACTTACATTTGGCATTTATCTATCTTGTCCTCAATCTCTTTTTATCTCTTTCTTTTTTGTCCCCCTCCTTTTCTTTTCTTTCCTTGTCTTTCTGACCATCTCATGTTACCTTCCCATTATGTTTTATGTCACCCTCTCTCTCTCATTATTCAATCTCTCTTTGACCTCTCTCTACATGCTCTCTCCAGGCATTTCTGACCCAGCTGGTGTGTAACTTGCTGGACGAGGGCAACTCCTGCTTCCGAGATGGGGACTGGCGTCAGGCGAGCCAGCAGTACGGGGAGGGGATCAGTGTTGCCCGCTACGCTCAGGCGGAGGCCCTCGTCATCCCCCATGAGCTGCTGGAGAGCCTCTATGTCAACAGGGCCGCTGCCTACTACCAGACGGTGAGGGAGCTTAGGAAAGGGGCCATGTCACTTACAGATGCTCATGTGGACAAATAGAAAATACAGTCAATTTGACTTAGGGTTAATGGAAAATACAATAATTATAATTAGAGACACAGTATCTCAGGTCTATCTCTTTAGTCTGTGAACATGGTCTCATTTGTTGTTGTTAAATCAAGGTGCTGTTGCCAGTTCTGTATGAATGTTGTTAAAAGTTACATCTAGCACTTTGACTAAGCAGTAAAGTATTATAGGTCCAATTTAATTCAGGTGCAGGGAAAACGATGTATATTTATTTACGTGTTATCTGTCTCAGAGGGAGTATGAGCGGGGCATTCAGGACTGTGACAGCGCACTCTGCGTGTTGGAAGGCAGTCGGCGAGCTTTATACCGCAAAGCGATCTGTCTGAGGGAGTTGGGACGACTCAGAGAGGCCTACGAGTGTGGAACCAAATGTCTCCTCACAGCACCACACGTATGTCATCAAGACTGAGAATACTAATGCAAATGACTTTTTCCCACGTAATTTTGAAGATCTCTTGACCTGTTGTTTTTGTGGTTAATCTTTCAGGACAGGCAGGTGAGTGACCTGGCTCAGGATCTGGCCAATAAACTGGGCCTGAAAGTCCGTAAAGCTTACGTCAGCCCACAGACAGAGTCCACCGCCTCAGAAGGAGAGAGTCATGGGGAGACATCCCCACCCACAGGAGAGGTGGGTGCTGTTGTGGTGCAACATTAAATTATTGGTGACCGAGTGAGAGGCTAAACTTATTGTTTTTTTCTCTCTGTACCTTCAGATGTCCTCCAATGGGCTGGAATCTCTGGGTGACATTGGACAAGGTATGACAGAGCTCAGACATGTCTGCTCCCACCCAGATTGCCGTCTGTTTCTCATATTAATTTCCTTCTCTGTCCTCCTCAGCGGACATGTCTAATGCGCAGTGCATACCTGCTCCTTTGGCCACACCCATCCCAGTCAGCGATGACCCAGCGACCCCCGTGGTGACCCCGTGCACTGACCTGTCAGAGAGCCCCAGCAGCCAGTCCCTGCCTCCCATGCCGTACTCCGTCCCCGTGTCGGAGCACATGGAGGAATGCAGTAGCAGCGTCATCAAGGACGAGCTAGACAGTCTGCTGGATTGCATCCCTAAGAAAGTCAGTGAGGCGAGTGAGGGACAGATAAGAAAGAAATCAGCCACAAGTGTGGGACCAGAAATGTTATAATTCATTTTATTATTTAATTCAATTTACAAAATGCTCTTTTGTAGCATTTTAAAAAAAAAACAGATTGAGTCAGTTGGAGTCATTTTTTGTTGTTCAGTGACTTTTATTGGTAGGCCCTTTACATGATGTAATGCTTGCTTCCTGTCTGTCTCCGGGTCCAGAATCCAGTCCAGGGTGCTATCCCCACCAACCTCCCCAACACAGCGGTAGGGCTGCGGCCTCCATACTCCCCAAGCCTTCCAGCTCCATCACCACAGCTTCCCCCTGCCTTCTTCAGCTCCCCCATCAGTGACATGCCCTCTCTGGAGCCTTACTCGTCGCTGGGCCAGCGGGACCAGGGCTCAACCCAGGCGCAGGACGCACTGGGAGGCTTCCCCACGGGGGCCACGGATGGAGAAGGGAAGGCAGGAGTCGCTGCTGGCGGGCTGGACTCGTTGTCTGAGTACACTCTCCCTGGTGAACAAAGTCTTTATGTGTTTTTAGTTGTTTTGACATGTTGGTTGCACTAGATGGAGACACAATGTTGGACTATTCTAAACTTTAACCAAAAAATCAAAGGGACAGAGGAAAAGATATGTATAATTTGTAAGGTGACACCAGAATTACATTAAAAATATGACCCGCTTCATTGTTGTAACCCCGTTGTTAGGGTTAACTCTAGTTTCTGCTCAAGTGTATGTGTATGACTTTAAGCTCTGCACACAGTACTGTTGTTAGGAGGAATGATAAGCATGTCAGCTATGTAACCAAATGCTGATATAAGTACAGACAAGATCAATAATAGTTGCCACGCTGTATCATTTTGATCCAGTGTAATGTCTTAGCTTACTCTTGCTTAGTTACGAGAGCACAGTTCTTAAGGATTTGGCTTTAACCTAAAATGTGAGTCGGCAGCAGACAGTGTGAGTCAGCAGCATCACAATACGGTGTCTGACATCAGTGTCCTTGTGTCTCGTTCTTCAGGGGGACGAGTGTGTCACAGCTTCATCCCTGGAATGCGCAACCACAGTGCTGCACATGCAGTGAGTAACACGCACACCACAAGCCACACACACACAACACACACACACAGTGCTGCATTAGGTACATTTTTTGCATCATCTCTTGCAGGACAAACTGACTTTTCGTGGTACTGTTAACTGTTAAAAGTGGCATTCATTATTAATTAGAAGAGATCTCTGACTGTGCCGCTAAGTAGTCTTTGTGTTAAGTCACATCTCCCCATCTTCTTCCTCAGAATGGTCCAGCAGGAACCAACCTGTCTCTGCTCTCCAGGAATCCTCTGGCAGCCACACATGAGTTTCGGCAGGCTTGTCATGCCTGTTACAGCCGAATAGGTCGGTTCAAGTCACTTTCTCTTACTAGCGTTTCACCAACTACTCTGTCCCTCCTAGTTTTTTTTTTTTTTTT